ATGTTACATATGTCCCATATGGGACCTGCAGTACTTCTGGGGTTGTAACTAACTGCAGTCCCTGCCCGTTGTTTTAGTGTATGAAAAAGACTCAGCAACAAGAAATGCAAAAGCTTTATTGCGGACAGGCGAGTGCAAAAATTACAAGAGCGTCGTTTATTTAAGACGCTTTTTTGATCTTCAATTCAGGTTATTCGATTGGCGTTGGGCGAAGACCCATCACCGTCAGCCATGCTTCTAAGGCGTAACGTTGTTGCATCAACCGATGCCATTTGAACTGAGAGCCGGATCCGTGCGGACTCGGATGCTCGGTGGACCCGAAAAGCCTAAGCAGTAAAAGATGTAAAATGTCCGTAGGTTGTTCCACCTGATTCTTTCTGCGGGTTGTCGGATACTTTGTTAGTAAGACTCTCAGGGACCAAAATGTATTCCTGATATCCAACCAATGAAAACGTTTCGACCGTTTGGTGCAATACTTCGGACAGCAATTTAGTTGACCACTTGCTACCTGCAGGTAGCATGGATTCCGGACTGCCAGACTTCAATGGAAAGGTGAGCTGTGAATACGAAGCCCAATTCAGCCTCTGAAGTGCTCCAGTGTACATCTGTTGCCAGCATCATTGGGCTTCTGATCCTGATAACCTCCTCCTGCTGTGTTCAATGACGGCTATGAATTTTGCAGCCAGTACTTGTCTAACTTATTTGCTCTTATCTGGGAGAAGGAGACCGTCCAAACAACTGGGGTAGATGGATAATAGCACCCGTATGATCAAGCGGCGGGGGTCTTCGTGCATTATTTGCCTTCACAAACCGCGATTCTACCCTACTGAGCAGTATAAATCGCACCATCGCAGTGTATACCATCTCTCTGGCAGACAAACTGACATAATGCTGTCACCATAGATTTCGGAGGCTTGCCAAAGCTTTCTTGTCCGTCAAGATTCGAGGAGTGATCTCGTCTGCAGCTATTTCACCGGAGCTTATACCACTGCCCTTATACATAAATTCGTACTATAGTCGTCCAGCTGTAACGTTCTTTCGATGCATAACTACCATGGCATCCGAAGGAATCACGAGGGTTGAGATACTGTCAGGTTACCCAGGCTTAGACAGGAGCAGTCCAGATGTCGAGGTTCGGCTCGAAACGGGACTTTCCGGTCAGTAAGTTGCCTTAGCAAATGAGCCATCTAGGGTTCAAATAAATTCATGTAGTACGCCGATTGTCTGGTCTGAATGCATGAAACTTTGGTCCTATTCTACTCAGTCTCATGGAATGTGTGGAGCGTATACTATACGGTGCGATAGAATAGTTCAGTTTATTCGTTCCAGGATGCCAATATTAGGAATATCTAAGTGAAACACGTTTCAAGGTTTGAAAATCGGTTTCGGGACCTTGAGTCATTATTGTACGCTAGTTGAGACTGCAAGGGCATCTCAACTTAGGTGGGCGAATAGGCCCCACAAGCAAAGCCTTGGGTCCAAATCCTGATCACGAGCTAGCTGGTGTGTATCAACTTACCATCAATTTAGTGCAGATTTTTGGAGAGATGCTATTAGCGTATGCTCCAGCCTCTAAACTGGATAGGGATAGATGGTTTCATTTTTCAGGCCTGTATCCATTGTCTCTGGTATGTGAGACCGAGTGTCCCGGTGAAAGGTTCAATGTAACAGGTCGGGTACGAAAGCCGTCGAACCATAGTAAGGTAGAGTCTGTTTACACACTTCAGTTGGCCAAAGAAAGAGGGATCCATTTTGTCGATCCTGGAAACTGGGTATCGTATCAGCTTCAATGGAAGTCGGATCGTATGCCGCATCACTGACTGTACCAAAAGCCGACTTCTCCAGGAGTTCACAGAAAAGCATTTATGAATACATCCTAGTCAAATTAACTGACACAATCGAATCCAGTCTGTTTTACATAGAGGTTTTTGTAGCGGTCGTTGCTCGTACCTGAACATTTCATAGATCCACACAACACATGCTTTCAAGTATTATATTCGTGGATAAAGTTCAACTCCCGGTGGGTTGTCAATAGGAACATTGAGGTCGAAGCTCTCCAAATGACTCGATAGTTCATTTATGCGATCGACTCTACAGATCGATTATGACGAATTATGAATACAGCTCAGAACAGCTCTAGTCAGCGGGCACCATGGTTACCTGAAGAAAGGTGTCTGTACTTGTTTCTGTGCTTAATTATCAGGGCACTGGTGATCAAATGAAAGTGCAGTGTTGTTGTGGTGAAGATGCCAGAGGTTGTGAAGCATCGGTGTTGAACACTAATGTCATGCTGTCGAGGATGATGATGTTGACAAAGGTTTCGTGATGGGAACCATTTGAGTTATTTGAAATTCACTTAGCAGACTTGGAAGAACAGTTCTGACCTCGTATTTTGATGGCCGAGGTTCTTACCCAGTTTTTCTGTGTTTTCAGGTGAACCCCACCAACCACGTACTCGCTCAGCTAATATGCCCCTGTTGCACCAGCCACAACAGTCGATTGCCCTGAGTCGAGGGGCCCACTGCATCTGATGACTTCTTCACAATTTTGGACGAGACCAGTCAGCCCCACAAGATGTCCGTTTTTCGGATGCTTTGTTGCGTGAGTGGTGGACGCTTTTATGGATGTGCCTCTTGATATGTACTTGAATGTACTGTATCCGTTTTTCCTACCGACCCGTTTCATGGTGCCATACTTTTGGGCAACTGGTATGCTTTACAGCATGCGCTGAATATTTGATATCATTTGCAAAAGTCGCTGTCGCATCGGATAAGCCTAACCATAGGTGTGTTTTGTTATCCGCGCTTAGCATGTGGGGCTAGGTTTAGAGTGAACGGTCGTTCCAGAACAATGAGCACTTTCACTGGATTTGCACAACAGGTTGGATGGTGGTGGTCGATCCAGATACCGGAATACTGAAACCATTGATCAGAGGGCTGTATGAAAGATACACCAGTCGACCTCAACAAAACAAGAGTGAAAAGCCCGCTGGGATCCGACTACAACCATCTCAGTGATTTCCAGTAAGATTACAATTATTTGTCCAATTAATTTCCAGATTTTTCATCGGATTGATGATTGGTTGAAGCGAGCAACTTGACCGCTAACTAATAACCAAAATACCTGTCTCGAAAGCCGGTTGGAACAGATATGGCACCTGAATCCACTATAATTTGTCTTGAGTGTAGCGGAATCTGCGGTATGCGTATGTGTGTTCAACTATAGGATAATATTTTAGTGCACAATCCAGCGTGTGGGGTAATTTTTCCTCGGAACACGTAGGTGGAGCTTGTCAGACTTTAGCACCCGGGTTGCTGACATGTTGGATTCCGCATTAGCGTGGTACGACTGCTCGCATGAGTCACTAGACTGGCAAGTATTTCACTCTGGTTCACTGAACCGCATTGCTATATCTCGTTCGTGTTCAGGGATGTTACTTTGAAAAAGCCGTTGTATTGTTTTGATGATTGGTGTCAACCTTTTTTTTACCCACAGTGCTCTACGACTGCTGAACGTGGTGGTATGACAAAAATATGCCAAGGAACCACCCACTAGAGCACCATTAAGGGTATACTGGTTAAACTGGTAGAATCTAGCTAACGATATTATCGTCTTTAGGATGGTGGTGTCCGGCGAGTGCTGGTTAGAGGATGGAGCTACGGAGCTTCGGTTTATTTTCGGGCTGATAGGCACATGTGTGATTCCCAGTGTAAATTTTATTGAGGTGTATGTGTCAGCATAGCGCGCAATTCTGCTCCCTCCATAAGGAAACAAGGCAAGGACACCACAGTGTTTTTGTTTTGGTGCCTTTCAACGCTTTAGTGAAGCTCATAACCAGTCCACAAGAGTTATGCGTCCGGTTATGAAATGATTCTTATATCCACCTTAGGGTAAAGGTTATGTCAGTCTTACATCGGCCCCTTCAAGTCCGCACGACTCTTCAGGATCTTCTTCCTCTTTGGTACCTGCAGCTATTTGATTGGACAGATTGCGAGGCACTGTCTTCCCTCTTGTAGGTAGCAGGTTGACTTCATGGTAGCTGTCCCCTTTTCTACCGAATTCCCTTCTCTTGATACAAAATAGTCATCGTTGCATCCTTGAAATCTTGTACACAGCTTCCGTCTGTCAGATTACTCGCAGTTGACGCAGAAATTAACCGTCATCAAGCCAAACCCGCCTCTATTCTTGATTAAGTCCATTTATGTCCATCCTATCCGACTAGGTATGTCTCGGTACATGGAGCTGTTGGGAACCTCACGTTTTGGACTCAGCTGTTTACTAGCCTTTCCCGTAGGGTAGTTTTCTGACTCTTCGGTCCTTTTTCATCCAGTTTGGACGGGTTCCCTCCTGGAACACAATATGGCAACTTTCAAATGCGACACATATTGTGGCAGGTACCAGAGAGCGACCTGCTTCGTTATCAGCCCCATGCCTCATTTTTATTAGTGGTACAGTACTTTGATCTCAGCCATGGTTTATGCTGTGATCTAGCAAGTGTCCGGTCGTGCGGTTTTGTTATTGAAAGGTCCAGTGCTTCGCCCACCCTCAATAACCTTCCTCTATTATCTTGCGGTGATCGAACTCTAAAATATGTGAGTATTTCGTTCAGGGTTCCCGAGTCTAGTCACACACTAGCACTGGGAGCGCTCTTATCTGAACATTGCAAAAGTGGCCTCCGCTATCGGATGGTGATTAGCCTGGAGTTGATGCAGTTTAGTTAGTCCATTATTCTTTGATCAGCACGCGTAAATTCAACACCATGTTCGTATTGGCTTTCTTTTATTGACCCATTCAGTTAGAAGGTTTAACAAAAATCAATCTCTTGCGCGCTGCCATGTTCAGTCATTTGAATGCGACGGAATTTATTCCACGGCTTTCGTCTGTTCGTCTTTCATGTCTATTGCATGTAACCTTGGCTGAGTGTGTCCTCACCTTTTGGGTTTCAAGTCCTATAAGATGTATTTTCTTTTCTCGCTCATCCGTTTCACGTGTGGGAAAGTGACTATAGAAGGTGGGTTTGGGAGATTCCAACCACATGGCCTGATCCACGCAATTGTTGGGGAGAGCTAGCCTAATTATATGGCACATGGAACAATGCATGGGAGTCATTTGATGCTGTTGCGCACGATGTGTGTTGGCTGGGAGGCATTCTACTCTTAATATTTTGAAAAGTGTTTTGACCATACTGCATATGGAGCCGACGCACCGTCAAACCTTGATCTCGAGTTAGCTCGGCGGTCAAAGCAAAGTGGTTTGAACACCGCCCTAGCTTTTATATTACTTCTGTCTAACGGACAAATTAGTGAAGGGAGGAAAGCCCTTCGCCGCGGAGTCATTTATTAGCAAACACCAACTAAACGGTTACAAACAGGACAAGAAAGTAAACATCTCATATGCACATAGGTTTTAAAACTTGAACATTCTCGCACGTCTTCTTGAACTTCCGTGGGTATTCAATGACTATCATACAACTGTAAACGAACGCTGCAAAGTAGTCCCACATGTTCCGTAATAAATCTCATCTTCCATTAGATACGGTGCAGAGCTTCGAAAAAACAGATACTACTCGCATGTCTTATCTGTGTCTTATCTGTGTCCACCGTTACACACCTTTCCCCTTCAAAGGTTGCGTGAATGCCACCGATTTCAATTTACCTCAATTAAGTCGGCCTCATCAGCTGGTATGTTAGGCGGCTCTTCGGGTGTATCATGACGCTTTCGTTTACTCTTTCCGATCATCGACCGTCCTGAATTTTATGGGCGTTCTCCCAGTGGTCGGTAACGACAAACGGACCTTGCCACCGACTACCCAGCTTCCGCGACCCTAGTCCACTCCTTCCAGGATTTTAATGATCCTCCCATTTGACCTTAGGCCTATGGGGAATGGCCGTGCCTTTCTACTTACCGCTTTCAGTTTAGTCATTTCCTGAACAGCGATCAAGTTTTCTCGAGCTTTCCTCTTTTCCTCTTCTTGCCCTCCGGAGACAAGCCTCTAGCCGGCCACAATCCAATTCCCTGATCAACTAGAAGGCGTGAATGTCGTCGTCAGCATGAACGGGACCTGACTGTGGTCGGCTGTATCGAAGCATGGTGTGATAACAACGCCATCGACAGGTTCACTTCCTAATCACCTTTGGCCGCCAGCCACTCCTTGATCATTCGGTTATTGCGTTCGGTTAGACCATAAAGCAGCCAATATGCACGCAGGCGTGCACCAAAATGCCAAATTAAAGCTTTGATCGGATTCAGACAACATGGCAAACCAGGTACTACCCTGGTACGGAAGAATTCATCAGGTTGGTCACAAATTCATGGGACATACGATCATTTTTGCAGGAACTATCTCCGAGAGGGCGACAAAAGAATGACATCCCACTTTGAGATTTTGACTCCAAAGTTTGATTGTATTGCAGCTAGAGAATGCGGGCTTTTTTCCAAGAACACTAGTAAACCTGTAACACAATAATCCATCTCATAAAGTAGCCAGTGTTGAGATTTTAGTTGGAATCCCCTTTTGGGATCGATGACTGCGAAATCTGCTACGCTTGGCAGTAGAAGGATTGATTAGCCTAAGGTCAAAGGGAATAAGGCATGGGCATTTTATTTCTGAATGCTGCCGTGTACAGCAGACGTATTTGGAGCCGCGTTGGACTTCCGATAGGGTGTAGTAGCTTTTTCATCATATTGGATAAGGGGTGGGCGTTGACGGTCGACCGGTTGGTGATCGGAATGTGCGGCTTCAAGCACCGGTCTTTCTAAACAGTTCTTAGAGATTGGCACCATAATTATAAGTCGCCAGGGCTGAATGCCTCACTGTTCTTAAACTCTTGTAGCATCAAGCAGTCTGAACTCACTGCCACATCGTAACACGATTCCTGCTCGTACGGCTGTTCGGTTCTCCTCTATATGATGTCCCATTTCAGACCTTCTTGGGTTTTTGGATTAAAAAAAGCCTGGTTTCAAACTCCATAGCCTACAAGATCGCACAAAACTGTGACCCAACCACCACGAAAAAATGAGGAACGTGCGCGGGTCCTTCCAAATTCAATTTTACCAGACTAGAGACGTGTCATCTTTGGACGGATTGCAAGGGAAGATGAAAAGAGAAGCAATTAAGTGGCCATATAACGATTTTTGAGTACAACCGCACGAAATACCAGAATGCGGGAGCTATTTACAAGTGGTCATATTTTTCCTAATCATGTCTGTCTGTCTGTAAGATACTACTGGAAAGAGCTTCCATTAGATACGGTGCAGAGCTTCGAAAAAACAGATACTACTCGCATGTCTTATCTGTGTCTTATCTGTGTCCACCGTTACACACCTTTCCCCTTCAAAGGTTGCGTGAATGCCACCGATTTCAATTTACCTCAATTAAGTCGGCCTCATCAGCTGGTATGTTAGGCGGCTCTTCGGGTGTATCATGACGCTTTCGTTTACTCTTTCCGATCATCGACCGTCCTGAATTTTATGGGCGTTCTCCCAGCGGTCGGTAACGACAAACGGACCTTGCCACCGACTACCCAGCTTCCGCGACCCTAGTCCACTCCTTCCAGGATTTTAATGATCCTCCCATTTGACCTTAGGCCTATGGGGAATGGCCGTGCCTTTCTACTTACCGCTTTCAGTTTAGTCATTTCCTGAACAGCGATCAAGTTTTCTCGAGCTTTCCTCTTTTCCTCTTCTTGCCCTCCGGAGACAAGCCTCTAGCCGGCCACAATCCAATTTCCTGATCAACTAGAAGGCGTGAATGTCGTCGTCAGCATGAACGGGACCTGACTGTGGTCGGCTGTATCGAAGCATGGTGTGATAACAACGCCATCGACAGGTTCACTTCCTAATCACCTTTGGCCGCCAGCCACTCCTTGATCATTCGGTTATTGCGTTCGGTTAGACCATAAAGCAGCCAATATGCACGCAGGCGTGCACCAAAATGCCAAATTAAAGCTTTGATCGGATTCAGACAACATGGCAAACCAGGTACTACCCTGGTACGGAAGAATTCATCAGGTTGGTCACAAATTCATGGGACATACGATCATTTTTGCAGGAACTATCTCCGAGAGGGCGACAAAAGAATGACATCCCACTTTGAGATTTTGACTCCAAAGTTTGATTGTATTGCAGCTAGAGAATGCGGGCTTTTTTCCAAGAACACTAGTAAACCTGTAACACAATAATCCATCTCATAAAGTAGCCAGTGTTGAGATTTTAGTTGGAATCCCCTTTTGGGATCGATGACTGCGAAATCTGCTACGCTTGGCAGTAGAAGGATTGATTAGCCTAAGGTCAAAGGGAATAAGGCATGGGCATTTTATTTCTGAATGCTGCCGTGTACAGCAGACGTATTTGGAGCCGCGTTGGACTTCCGATAGGGTGTAGTAGCTTTTTCATCATATTGGATAAGGGGTGGGCGTTGACGGTCGACCGGTTGGTGATCGGAATGTGCGGCTTCAAGCACCGGTCTTTCTAAACAGTTCTTAGAGATTGGCACCATAATTATAAGTCGCCAGGGCTGAATGCCTCACTGTTCTTAAACTCTTGTAGCATCAAGCAGTCTGAACTCACTGCCACATCGTAACACGATTCCTGCTCGTACGGCTGTTCGGTTCTCCTCTATATGATGTCCCATTTCAGACCTTCTTGGGTTTTTGGATTAAAAAAAGCCTGGTTTCAAACTCCATAGCCTACAAGATCGCACAAAACTGTGACCCAACCACCACGAAAAAATGAGGAACGTGCGCGGGTCCTTCCAAATTCAATTTTACCAGACTAGAGACGTGTCATCTTTGGACGGATTGCAAGGGAAGATGAAAAGAGAAGCAATTAAGTGGCCATATAACGATTTTTGAGTACAACCGCACGAAATACCAGAATGCGGGAGCTATTTACAAGTGGTCATATTTTTCCTAATCATGTCTGTCTGTCTGTCAGATACTACTGAAAAGAGTGGATGATCCGAGGTTCCCTGTTTTGAATGAGGGTTACCTACTGCCGCTTGTAGAGTCGGCTGGTAGCACGTAAAACATCTTTAAAGACTGTCGACAAGAAGCTACCCTTAATTAATCTTTCTACAGCTGGAAGGAAGAAGGCCTTCGTAGTGGAGTTATTTATTAGAAAATACCAGCTGAACAGTTACAGACTATTGGACAGGGAAGCAAAACTCTCATATGCATCTTGTTTACAGAGACTGAATATCCACCTTCTCCTTGAACGCGTCTTCCTGATTTTTCTCGGATGTTCATTGACTGTTGCTCAAATCCAAGCAAATGCGACTCCACAAGTTCCGTACTAGATCTCACTTCAAGATACGCAAAGCGGATTCACGATCTGGGCCGCTATAAAAACTAGGCACTGAAAAGATGTTACAGCTGAGGGCTTTTTGGCACGCAGGTATTCTGACCCGAAGGTTGACCCACTTAGAAACGCTGGCTTAGAGCGCATCGAGGCCCATAGTCCGATATACCAACCGACCTGTCCGTGTTCAAAGATTCAAAAATAAGCGGCCTGTGCTGCTCAACTTGATAATTACTTATCCTTCTGCTGCTGGGCTGGATCATGTAAGTTCAACGAAAATACGACTAGAAAAACGTATCCGAATGTTTTTGCCTGGCACTATTAGCTACAAATCCCCGGTGCACAAGCTCCAGTTTCATACTAGCGCGCTTGGTTGTCACTGGTCATCAAGTTGATCCCAAAGCGACCTTGAGAGTGTCGTGTCATACCAAACCAAAGGAAAAAACACAGTTGCTTTCGGTATTTGAAGGTGTACATTTGTTCAGCGCGCATCATGTATCCAAATGAAAAAAAGCTAGCATACCTTGATGTTATCTTGTTCTCAAACGCACTTACGCTCCAATCAATAGCACAAACAAACAGGACTGTTATATCAGACAGACCGTAGGAAGTTAATAGACCTCCATCTTCCCTGATCCCTTGTAAGCAGTATCTGTATCCCCCTATTCTCTGTGGTTGGCGTAACCCCATTACTGCCACCGTCTCTTCATATTTCCCAGTTGTAGAGGCCTGTTAATGAATTTGCCGAAAAGACTGTGTTTGCCCACAAAGACTGCCTTTCATATGTGATGGGTCTTCTGTACAAAAAAACCTTGACTGAATTTATATTGGAACTACTAAGATCATATCAAGGAAAACAACACTGCATGCTGAGTGACAGTTGCTTACGTGGGCCTTAGGTCAAAACATGTATGGGTCAAAGTCTGTACATTCCCATTTCGTACGGTATGCGGATTCACATGTTCTTCCTGTCCCTAAAAATGCTACGCTCAGCTTTGTTTGAATCTAAATTCAAACTTTTGGGGAAGGAAATTTAGGATTAAAATCACCTTGTCATTTCCCACCACACACAAGGTTGCAGACTTCACAGTTAGCGAGTGATACTGCAAGATGACCCCTTAACATGCGAGTCCTTAACTCACGGATGTCTATGAAGAGCTATTGGGCGCACGTCGAATACTTGCAGACAGTCTGGACACTGAGTACCTGGAACGTGGGATATTTTCGCATGACTACATTCACAATCTAGAAGACAACTGGCCAGTCAAATCTCACCTTTTTATTCTCCTTGTAGATCCCACTTGCTTATGGACAATCTGAAGCGAAGCGCTCCAATCTGCGAACCTTGAGGGAAATCCTACTCTACCTTGACGAGGCTGATGAGGAGCAGCAAAGAGATGTGAGCCAGTTGTTTTCGAAATATGATGTCAGCGTGTTAACTAATTAAATGTATGCTAAGCAACTTCCCTGCTCACTGTCGATTAACGACTCCTGAGGACAAATAGCCCGTTCTTGTTCTTCCATGCACTTTTACTTTTCACCTAGATAGGTCCCGTTTTCGTTCTGTTTCGGTGCCTATATTCTGTTGTTGATGAGCAAAGTAATAATAATAATAATAATAATCGTTCAGCTGTAGCACCCTTTCGGTGCCTAGCTGCCACGCCACCCGAAGGAAGCACGAGGGCTGGGATACTGCCAGGTCGCCCAAGCGTAGACAGGGGAAGTCAAGAGGCAAAGGTCGGATTCGAATCACGGACCTTCCGGTCAGTAAATTCGCGCTCTAACCAATTGGCCCATCTCGCGAAGCATTTCGTAAATGAGTTAGTTACTCTGTGCGCAATACGAAACTTGACACTTCAAGTATTTCACAGTGAGTCGTGATTTGCCCTGGACTAATGTCCCATGAAATCGATTTTTTTGAAAAATAAACTGAGGTGACGGTCTCGTTATTTCATTCAGCGGCCCGTAGGTATACCACGGAAATAGAATGGGAATGAAAATCATTCGTCTGTAGAACTACGAGCATTCATACTCTATAGCTTGGACTGTAATATTCACCTGCTGAAAGAATGAGCGCGCCACACTGGATGAGAAATTGTTATGTTCTCTACTGATCAGTCTATCAACCTTGTCAGTTACACACGGACTTGAGCAGACAAAAAGCCTTGAGGAAATTATACTGCAGCAACTGAACAATCAATATCGAGATTCGAATAATCAAGAGTGGAATCGAACGAAACATTTCAATGAAAGGCTGAAATAGAGAGAGAGAAATGTTGATCAATATGTTCGTTAGGAGGAGTGCCTCCTAACAGAAATGGAATGTGGAAGCCTCAACGACCCTTTCTTATCGGACATACGTGAGATTCGAATCACTGGCATAGTATTTCGACGTGATAATACAGTCCGTCACTAACTGTACCGTCGCTTATTTCGTCTAGTGAACTGGTCAGCTCACCACTCCAATCTACACTCCAGCCACAGCGACGTTGTGATAAGACGGCTATGTGGTGTTGCACACTTTTGAGGGGATCAAATTGATGGTACCGTAGGGAATTAGCCATCTCGAACAATACACAGTCGGTAGTGTTACAGAAAACCATTCGAGCGTTCATTGGCAGACAAAGAGGCAATAAAGTTCTTGAAAATATGGTTCATCTTTCATTCTAACCTGAAGTGGATTTATACAGAAATCGCCATCTTCCGGCATATTTAAATGCTACAATTGAAGTTATTTACCGTACAACATATTTTCCTCTTCTCATATTTTAATAACCTCCTCTGAGGTACACCTGAGATGCTCCTGATAATTGAATGGTTTTCCAGTTTTTGAATACCATGTTAACATCATGCCCAGGTAGAGTTACCGTAACATTAGTGCGAGCTGTGGTTGCCCCGTTTTTACTTAATTGAGTTTAGTTGAATTTGGCCTAAATGCAATAATCTGTTTAATACGGTGCATGCCCTTACGCACTGAAATGAGACTAAAGTAAGTTACTTAAATAACACTGAGATTCACATGAGTAATGAAAGAGCTCCACTTCTACATAATAAATGGGGGTGGCCTTCATAACTTGAAGAGCCAGTTGCGTAAATCCATCCTCTCGTGTGCGGGTAGACTAGTTTGCTAGTGCATGATCAGGATGGGTTCAATAACATAAATCCTGAAAGCTTCAGGGGTTTCCTGATCGATACCAGTTTAAAAAGGTAACGACATTGTAATTCGTTGGTATTTTGTTGCATCAAACTCGGATCGTTACCGTACCTGAGGAGAATAACCGTCTCCTCAACTAAGAACGGTTGTAATAAAATAATTGTTGAATGCGTCTCGTTACCTGCGTACTACGAGTTTCGAAAACTCCATACACGTACATAGGTCTCTTTTGTGAGTGATTGGGGCTAAAGTAGAGTACAGTAGCTCAACTGTCTGCTCTGCGATAGGGAAATGCATCACTTTGGTATTTTCGTACACACCCGGTTGCATTCGGTCCTTTCAAATAAAATGTGGGGAGCACCCGGTGCGACAAGGTTCACCAGCGGCCCACCTTGACCGTGTGGGGAATTTAACCCCGGTTTTTAGAAATGCGAGGCAGGGGCATTACCATTATTATACCAGCGCACGCTGGGCACAATTTAGCACATCCGGGCAGGTGACATTGTGCGATGTGGTTTTCTTGTGTGGCTCTTTGAATGGCTAGTCAGCAACTGCCCTGGTGATGCCAATCGAACGACTCGCCTACCAGGTCTTTCCAGTCAGTTGACATCTAGAACACTTGAGCAGTTTTTGAGTGGCTATGAGTAAGTAGTGTCGGAATAGAATGCAGATTTTTCAATGAGAACGATATCAACAGTAACTGTACGCGCACCGCAACTGCGCACAACTGCTTCGACGTCGTTTTGAGTAATCCTCAACTATGTTTGATCGATCACAGAGTAATGGGTGGGGTTTATGTAGTTCGTCGTTCTGTTTAGTCACTTCTAGTTGATAGCGCAGAACTATGTTTTTTGTTTCTTTACGAACGAAATGCAATACTTCACTATTGATATCGTTTGGGCACCACTTCCGACAGCAGACGCCGCCATAAACAGAATGTTATAACCTTTCTGGTTACTAGTTATTATTGGCTATTATCATAATCTTTTATCAGTGTTTTCTCCACTTTCAGATTAATCTATTCATATACCAATTGTTGACACAGCTGGCAGCCACTGAATCAACCGGCCGTGCTTCCGACTCCGTCAGGAGTCCTTTCAACGCCCCACTCATTGATCGACATGCTTTGAGTGCTTTTCGGGAAGCGGTAAAACGCCTCGTCAGTCATCCGCCTACCAGAGCTACTGACCAGTAAGTTCGGTTAGAAAAAAGGCGTTCAGCCACAGGTGTGATCTTTTAGTGTCTATCCTCAGTTGACCAATGTTTGATGAATCAACATGGGTCAGTCTGTCTCTTTCCAGTATAATCGGTTTCAAACTATTTTCCTGCTTCACATGTGTGAAGTACAGACGCAAACTTGGAGGACGTCCTTACCAAACACTAGAGACAAACATAGTCACAAGTCAGTACCGTATTCAGCGATTGTGCTGCACTATACTTCCATTCATCGGCCTAGGCTGCAGCGCCAGTGCTGGAACGCAGCACCTAACTGATCCACAGCGAATTTATTTTAATATATCTCTGGTTCTAGTGCACTGAAATATCAGAAAGCCGATGACTTACGGAATCATATTCATATCTGAAACCCGCAAATTTCGTCACTATTCTCTCCACGTGACTACACCGTGGAAGACACCTATGTCACCGCTAAATGAGCCAGTGTATATCAGATCGCGTGAACTGTGCGACTGGTGATGCTCCATCTTGTCTCTGTGGAAGCTAACGACCTCCTGTTGGTCAGATGCCTCAATTTTGAACAAATCCCGGAAGATCCCAGACTAGAATCACCTCACACTGCTGTTGATTTCCAACAAAAAGCACTGTTGGTTGAATTTCTCGCAGCGATCATGGAGTAACGCAAACGGGGGAGACCGCCAGATCAAACGACAGGATCATTCGCCCCGACTAGTCCGGCGAGAAGTCAGGTTCATAGGTCATTTGGATGTTGACCAATCGAAACATGAGTTGAATGTCTAATCAACAGGATTACGAACTGAAGCAGTCAATCATGGTTTTCAGCCACGCGCTTCCGAAGTGTGTACATAAACTCGTGCACAGTAGTGCCCAACGTAAATCGGTAACGTACAGCTCCGCTGCGTTTCACAACCGGTTCATTCCATTTGATGACGAAACCTTCGTAATGAAATTTGCAAACTCAGGTAACAACTCCACCGCCAATTGAACAACCGGAGCTACTTACCTTCTCCCTTAGGTCGAAGAGAAAGTTTTTCTAGTATTTATTAACAGGATATAATTGGTAGTTGTGACTCGCTAATATGCTTCTCAGATAATGAACCCTTAATAGGACCAAACGGCACGCACGCTCCTGGTTGTGTGATCTGTTTTCACTCATAACTTCTAAGTTGAGCAGTGACCAATCGCTGTCGTCCTGTACTCGGCGTTTATAATGGTGATTGTGTTGTAAACCTGTTACAATATAAACACATCCTTCATCGCTTCAGGCCCACAGATCAAGCACACAGTCTTTCCAGTTCTTCACCTACTCGAACCAATGACTTTGCAGACACCTTGCCACCATGGACTTCGGTCAAGTCGGATTCGGTTTTTCGTCATAACATCATCATTGAAATGCTCTCGCGGTGCCCGTTGGCTTTGCTGGAATTGTTGTTCCAAATGGAAAGTGTCAAGTCATGGAACGAACTTCTTGCAGCCTCCAACTTGACCAACTACGTCGCATTAGAATTGCCCACTCCATGTACTAGTTCATACGGTGGTCAGGTACGCATTGCCTCATGGAACTTGAACCGCTTTACACTGGCTAAGGCACGCCACCCAGGCTTTCGCGAGGTCTTATGCTTGACTATTTTACGCAGCAAAATTTCTCTGATGGTGCTGCAGGAAGTCGCCAGCGTCGATGTTGCGGATGTGGTAAGTGACCTTATTATTTCCATGGTACAGTATTCGGTCTGTACCGAATTCTTATGTAACAGACAACTGAGGTCGTGTAAGTCATATGGCTGAGCGGAGTCAGAGGAACTATACTGGATAACTATGTAGAATAGATTAGCTATTTGTTCGATTGAGTTGCACGGTAAGACGAATCTAATCCGAAAGAGCTGTCAAGGGGCCTCATTCATCGTGTATGGCGTTTACGACGCTGGAAACTACCTATTTGGTTGTCTGTAGATCGGAAATAGCTGAAGCGTTTCGGTTCACATGATGTTACTGAGTTTAGCCCAGAGATAAAGGTGTGTGTTACCAGCCGGACGGCCCATAATTCGATCAGATCACTTCTTTCCCTCTTCGGTCAATCTGCTAGTATAAAGGTGTGTGTTACCAGCCGGACGGCCCATAACTCGATCAGATCACTTCTTTCTCTATTCGGTCAATCTGCTAGTGCCTTGGTGTTTATGTATTGCACTAAAAGCATGCCACAGCAAAGCGGTTTCTCAAATGTTTAACTCGGATTCTCTAAGGCGCCGCCCCAGGATGCCTTGCACCGTACGGAATTCATATTCGTCTTCAATTCGGGAGAAAGCGGATAAATGTGGTACACCGCATTTTCTTACATCCCTCCACTTACATCACGTGATCACGTATTTTGTGCTCCCCTAGTCGAATGTTGTTCTGGCATCCTCTAATGCTGGTTGCGTAAATGCCCCAATTCAGCGTTCGTCTTTATATTAACTCATATTGTTTCTCACAAGATGAAATTAGTCCTCTCGAGAGTTTTACCAAGTAGAGTCAATCTGATTTAATGAAATTAATTGCTTTTTCCAACCCACTGCCTCCACCTGCGGCGTACGTCGGGTTATATTTCGTTGCTCGATTCACGGATACCTTCTGCAACTGTGGTTCCGAGGTTGCCGAAAACAGTGTCGGAAACTTGGATTTTTTTCGTGAAGCGCTCAGTTTATCAGCTCATTATTATATTGCAGCTGTGTGCCGAACTCAACTCACCCACTTTGCCACATGTTCGAAAATGGGCGCATGATCACCCGCCTTGGTGTGTACCCAAATGGAAGGTGGCTAGTTCAACACAGGCCGTCGGATCCATGTTCGCTGGTCGGGAATATGCCTTATTTCTGTACAACGAAAACGCGGGTGTTTGCATTAGTCGTACAAGCTTAATGGAGCCACCCACAGTTGCCAAGTCCTTGAAAGTGTTTTCTCGAAGTCCATGTCCGGCACTTTGTAAGGTTAGTTTTTCTTCTGGAGTAATGTGGTTGATTGTCCTGATAACCTCTGAGTTGAGACAGTACCTTCTGTGGGTGTTTAGCAACTCAGATCTATTTGGTTTGCACGATGTTCGCAAGATTTTATGTCATCACCTTCATCCGTTGGTACCAGTATAAAATAGCTCGTATGTTCGTATATATGCAAAATTGTCAATTATCTTACCCTAACCGTAATATCCAATACATGTAAGTAGCCGTCGTGACAACACGAAAATACATAATCTGTGTGGACTCCGGTAACCGAAACCTTCTAATACTCGTATTGTGCATGCTTCAGCCAGCGGGTCGCACAGGCTTCATGTACATATCTGCCGTATATATTTCGCGTTTTTTTCGATCAGATCCGGTCCGCTCGACTGATACTCGTCTCAGTTCATTTGAAGGCCAGAGGGCTACGGAATAGTAGAATTGGCCGCACCGCTGCTGAGGTTCAAGCCCTGGAAACAGTCGTGCAGGCTTTTTATGATACACAGAGTCGTAAGTGAATTGTGGGATTAGCTGCTTTGTAGCCTGTGATCCACTTACCAAAAGTCTATCAGATTACGTGCTCTTGAGCTCATGATTGTCGTTCAACATGCTTTTTATTTTCAGTCAGCCGTAGTGTGCTACTTTACCCGTGTCGCGCTCATTTCGTTACATTTTTTGTTGTCAGATATGCGCCATCTCCAGGTACCCAGCTAACATCCCACTCAGAACACTGGATTTCCAACACATGCCATCATCATGCTTGTTCAGCGCTGATGGTCAGACTTATAACATACGCCGACAGCTCCTCTGTGGTGTGCTTCTGGTCTTGGTTTCAATTGGTAAATTGCCTACCAGAGCGTGTTCTCTATGTCACACAGTAGCTTGTTGGCCATCAAGTATCTCATGACTCTAGGTAATCCGGAAGTAGGACGTTAGTTTGTGGTGTTTGAGCGCTATCCACTTTTTGGAATGGCAAATACATGGGCGAGCTCCAAAGACAATGCGAAAATAACCGTAGGAATGGATGTATTGGAAAACGGTTATGATGTGGATTGGTTTTAGTGCACAGTTTCCGGATAGAATGTGGATATTTCCTCAGGACCTAGAGGTCTGGAAATATTGATAAAAAAAATGGGAGGCTCCGCGCGGAAATGACGGGCGTTTTGACCTAAGTAGATGTAGTAGAGAGCTGTTGTTAGCCAAGAGCTACTGACCCAATCTGTATGCAGGGGACTCTTACGGGCGATGGAGTGAAACCAAGCATTGTTGAACCACTCGAGGAAACTTTTCCGTCAATATTGGTGGGCCATTCAGAGAACAATACTTGGGATATGGGGAACAATCTAGACATACAGTTCCAGTTGGCGTACTGATGTCGAGACTGCATAAAGGTTTGTGTAAGCACTTGAGTAGGAACAGGCGATAAGGCTTTCCTCATAGCATCCAAGTAGAGCTGAGTATAACTGTTAGTGAGGAAGGGTTCTTAGCCTATCATCTTCACTGTTTGGAACATAAGTAAGGAGAATCATAGGATCGATAATTGGCAATAGAAAAACACTCGGTTTATCGCAAGGTAGATCGCAGTGGCTGAGGGAGTAAACCACTTGAAGTTGTGGACTTTGACTTAGCTAAGTTTACAGAGAATCGGATTGAAGAAATCTATCAGTTCTATCTATCTATCTATCCATCGTTCAACTTAAGGCCTCATTATCATTTGAAGGACAATAGCTGTAGTAACTACTCGTTACTTCGGACAAACCGCAGCATCAGCTAAAACAACTGAAAATTTCGTAGGGACAGTTGAAGCCGCTATAGGTCGGTGACAGATAATGGTGTGCGAACTTCCGGCTTAAAACGAAAGGCATCGAATGGAATAGATGATAATTCGGTAAATGCAGAATAGCCAGGTATCTTTCTGGCGGTTCGACTATTTGCTAGAAACAAAAATGTAGAAGTGAGGAAGACAGATGGTGATGGAATGTCATTCTTCTTTAGATTACGTGTGTTTAGATGAAGTACGTAAGATTGAGTATCCATATTTTGTCGCATTTCCTTACTTGTTTCTTACGTTGATGGGCAATATAAATCAGAGGCTCGGTTGGCTAAGTACTTAAGGCTCGCGGATGACAGCTTCAACAGTCGAAGTAATAATAGTCTTTGACTTTATGTTCACAGAACTCCTAAAACACCACAAGACACCTTGAATGCTACCAATGATTAAACACAGCACTTTTCGGAATTTTGTACGCAGGTTCGACATTTTCACAGTTATATCCAGCTGCACACAGACGTTCTCACCAAGGCACTTCCGTTTTCATGAAGTTATGTATCTCTACCTATGTGCAGCAAAGTTTGACCGTCCAGTACTCTATCTGATTTAATGTGGCTACCTTCCGTTGAGGGGTAAGCCGGCCTCAGGAACGTGTTTATGATGCAAGTTGTATCCGGTGTTCTGAGAAAGTAGCATTGATGTTGTTAAATCTGAATTACTGACGGAGTCATTGACACTAAAACTCGTTCGTCTCTCTGAACCTTCACAGGACAAGAAAATAGGGCTGCCATTGATTATGTTGGTCGTAGTTTTTTCGCTTACTACTATAAATTGGCTTTTATATTACGCGACTTCGGCACCAAAAGCCATGGACCCTCTATTGTTTTTTATGGTTTTCGTGAATTCGTTGTCTTCTCAATTTCTGCTGGACCAAAAACAAACGAAGCCACTTGAACTGTCACTATCGCGGTGTTTTTCCCATCCAAATACGTTACTTTCATCGATTGGCTTGGCTAATCGGTAAGGTTGAGTCATCTGTTGACGTGACTACGCGATGCATGATCTTTAGTCAACCCAAGAGATTTCCTCATTTGCGTGTTTTTCCGTGGTAATGAACCCCGAGGAATTGAGAGCCTAGAATCTACGAGCATTTGGGTATTATGGGCATCTGCATCTTCTTTTCTGCTTTCCCTTTGCTTTTCCAGCCAGACTTTCCAGCAACCTTGGTCCTTTTTAGACCTAAGTCATGCTGCGTGCATCACACACCTTTATCCGTGAATCACTCAGTCGTCGACCATGCACAGATTTTCTCTTGCTGGGTTCTTACAATATTTCCCTTTTTTCTTGTTTTCTAGCACAATCACACCTCGTGATTCTTGGTGATTTCAACTTAAATCCGGAGCATGAAGGTTAGTTCCTATGTCACAGACTGCTTCAAGTCGAGCCACCAACTCATGTGGTGCCACCGATTCCGTACGTTATACGTAGATTTTTGCATACTTATCGGAGTTGCTCTAGTGAATTTAGGCAGTTCATTCATTCTTCCTGAAGGAATACTACTTTCAAGGCTGCTGAAAACTCTATGACAATCTACGACCGGTTTCGATCTTCTTGGGCTCATCAGGTGGGCGCAGTCCAAGAGTTTCCGTCAGCCTCATGATTTACTTGGACCCAAGTTATTCGCCATTCAACAAGGGCACTTTAGTTTTGCAAACAAGTGTATTTTTCAAATTGCGTAGGAGTTTGACGGAAACTCTGGGACCGCGTCTACTTAATGGTCCCCAAGAAGAGCGCAATCGGTCGTGGGTTGTCAAAGAGTTTCCAGTAAGCTTTTTCGTCAGTGCTCTTTCGAGAAAACATGCTATGATATATAGAATATCGTGCCAAATTGGACACGAGGTGGTCTGTGTGCTGCACATTCATTTGAAGAATATCATATATGAGAGATCCAGCTGAGGTTCCGGTTACAGCCAAATTGGTTTGTAAGTGTATTGCCGAATTATTCATTCTGATTATTTTCACAAAAACTGCTTTCTGAGCAGCGCTGTACTGTTGGTCTTCAAAAGTACAGAGGTTCTGTTGAATAACGCACTCGAAACAACAGTCCACCGTTGACCTCCCGGACTGTGTGGTTTTGAGCCCAAACCTTCTCCGGACGAGTGTAGTATTTGCTTGTCGCGTGGAGGAAACAACACAATCCCATCATATAAGGCAATGTGACCTCGTAAAACGATTATTCGTAAAACTAGGTCGTGTCGTTCTCGTCTGGCCTTTCTGTAGCGTTTGGATTTTGGGAACTGAGCTCTAGCCGCTTTACCACGTGGAAACATTGTTTCACTCAGGCTTCTATTTGTTTCCTGCCTTTCTGTATAGCTTTCAGTCGCTTGCGTGAACGTGGTTTTCAGTCTGTTTTAAATGGATATCAAGCGACAACCCCGCAGTCAAATCTCAAGGATCAGTCCGACTCTCCATCCTCCACTCTGTGTCCCACTGCCTATGACAATGCTTGGATTTCTCCCAGTTTGATTTCTGTTGATACCACGGACTCTTCATACACCGGAAACTCTGGCGTTATAACTAGCGGCCTCAGACATCCCCTTATTCCCGGTGACATCGGTGCTGGCGCTAATGGTTTTATAAGCGACCATTGCCCAATATGGTTTGATCTCCGTTTTAGCTGATCAATATTCTTCTCTATTTTTTTAATGCATATTCGAATTTCTTTGGACAACAGAGGACTAAAAATTGTTACGTTTCGTGTATTTTTCATGTAAAACTTCACAAACGTGAGAAAAGTCTCTAAACGATTTAACTTTAGTCTTCTAAACCCATACCAAAAAGTTGGTCACTTTCGAACCAATTTACACTGGTCTTCACTGAACTCGACTTCGATTTGGACTCCGAAAACATCGGGCCTTTTTTGCATGGTGTCTTCCGTATGTTCGATGTCTGCATTTCAAGATAGAGCACAAATATACTGAAATCGAGATGTCGAAGTGACGTAGGTAGGTTTTACAATCAATAAAGAATGACCCGGAGTGGTGTGTTCTTAACGTGCCTGAAAGTGTGAGTAAGCCTTGCCAAGCATTTTACACCTTAGTAATATGACCACGTGAAATTCTAATGGTCCCCGCGTATATCAGGTGCTCCGACTAGCAACCTTTATCAACAGCAATGGTGTTATGACACTGGCCCAGATTTATTGCTCTTATTTTGGTTTATGTGTTTACTGCCCTGTTTAAGGCTTCTGTGTTTATTAAGGTCTGTGACTATTTCAATCAATAATTATATGCGACTGGCCCCATCACTGTACGTAACACAATCTAGATACCTGCTGATTTCTTCATCGCGTTTATAACCTGAAGCCTGGTTGGCGAATTTTGACCGACTTGAGGACCGTCGAGTTATCCAGATATTTAATCGCAGGGGTGTTCCGATTGGACTCGGATATGTTTCTGATTATGGATTTCGGGAGTTTTCAAACTGTATCGAATGAATTAAGCCTGTAGAGTGCGTTTATTGGGGCTGTAGGTCGATTGACCTTGTGAGCCCGTTCTCGAGGCTTTCGTGATTAGTGTCATTTGGTGGGTGTTTGATTGAGTTTGTTTCTTTCTAGCGTGACACTCAACCTGTTTTTCTGTTGTACTTTTGGCCACTTCACACATGGTCATGGGTTTACCAGGGAATCAGGAGCTAGGTGTGAAATATTGCAAGTACGTACCTGAGCGAGGTAGTTCGACGATTTTCGGCAACCCGAAAAATTCATTTCTCTATTTGGTTTGGGTCTCTGTAGTCAGTCTCTACAGTCTTCTGATTTTGACCACCTTTTTGACAAATCATCCATATGGCTATCGTGTGATCATGGTCATGGTGAAAAAAATTTTGCACCGAAAACAATCTTGAGTATACACTGTTACTAGTTACCCTTTGATCGGGTTTGTTGTAACACTGACTGTTTCCGTCATACAGGCTTCGCTAAATTGCGCCCTCGTCTCAGGATTTCTATCATGACGGACACACCATCCTAAGACGTGATTCTTGGTCTAAACCAATTTTTTTGCTCTTTCAGGCTATCATATGGCTTCTGTTTTGCCCAAGTAGTCGTCCCTCCTTGCGATGGACCTGGTAAGAAATAACCCGTAGAGCTAGAATTTCGTGGGATACCTGCAGTAAAGCTTCAGTTATACGAGTGGCTGCATACTTAGTGTGACACACTAGGCTCCGGTTAGTTAAGGCAGTGGGAGTGATAACGTTTCGCCTAAAATATTCTGGCCGTTCGTCGGTGGTCCGAAGATTGTTGAATTAAGGCAATAGCTATTTCTTTTAACAGCTGGTTTACCAAAAAGTGCACCTAAGCCTCCAATGTTCTTCTTGTCAGCAAACCTAAAGTGAAATTCATCAGTTGTGCAAACCTGTGAGCGTGTACTTAGTCCAAATCCTCAGTCGAAGCTCACCCATTCTCTACCCCCATATCTGAATCTAAATAAGGTTAATGGCCCCTGTGTGCCTATGCGTTTCGGGTTCCGATTACAACCTTAAACGAACTAATGTACCTGCAAATATCCGATTTGTTTTGAAAAATCATATCAGGACGTGAAAGTTCACACAAGATTGATGAAGCTCGTCCTAATTGGTAGTCGCCCTAACTTGAAGTAGGTAACCAGCAATCTCCTATTATCTTCTACAACAGAAATACTATCGTAGCGTGTTTTTGCGTCATAGAGACATAATGAAATGGGACAATGTGTTAATCGAACAGAACGTCATCGGACCTGTTCACTTAGTGTCGGTTCACAAAAATACAAGCGGACAACTTACCCTTTCCAGAGACTGGATAATTTTACTACGAGTATCTGGTGTTTTGTTCGGACAGGGTGGTGTAGCCTCCAGTAAGTCTTCTGAAAGAAGACCGTCATCGGAATCGATGTCGGTGACGGACACCGTATTGCTAATTTTATCGTCAGAAGGTTGTGCGAAAAGAACTCGCCGGCGTTTACAAGCAGAACCAGGCTGTTTTAGGATGCTCCTCGGTGTCTTCTGCGGTGTTTTCATTATAGTCTAAAAATACACTCAAGATGTATTCAACTTACCATCGAGTTTAATCTTAAGGAAAGTGCAGGGGACTTTGGGGTCTGCGTCACCGTTGCACTAATATCCGGAGGAAGTTGTGTACTCGCTGGTGGGGAATTCATGTACAACTGCCTCTGAAACTCTTTAAATTCGTTTTCAGTTTTCTGTAGTCGGGCAATCTCTTTTTCACTTGTCATCATTTTCTGATTATTCAGTTCCAATTGTGCATTCAGTTTTTCCACAGTCGAAACCAACTCTTCATGTTCTTTTTCACGTAGTTCTTGGTGATGTTTCTTAAAAATAACCTCGAGCGTATTTATTAACCCAACCTACCTGTTCTTTTAATTCTTTTTCCATGCTCGACATTTCTTGCTCTTGAGCCGATAGCTTCTTCGTGAGTTCTTTCTAAAAAAAGGATATTGCGTGCAAACTAAATCCGCCTTTGTTCTGTGATTCTGAGTTGCATATACATCATTAAATGTCCTTGAGATTACATTCAGTAAGCTAGTTTTAACCACAGTGGATCAACTTACCTTAGCTTTTCTCTGTTTCTTTTACCAAATTTTTTATATGGTCTCATTTCGTCGGCTAACCGATGGAAGCACGATGACTGAGATACTAACAATGAGTAAAACAATACTGTGGAATATCATAAACGAGAGATTCAGTTGAGTCTCTCGTGAAAACCACATTGATTTGCAAATGAGTGTATTTCTCTAAAACAATAATGGTTTAGCTGTAGCACCATTTCGATGCCACACGAAGATCGAGCTACTGCTAGGCTGTCCGAACATAGACAGGAGGAATCAAGAAGTCTAGGTTAGGTTTGAACTACGAACCTTCCAGGATGGGTTCTCTTAGTCTCTCCTGCGCTTAGCTGGAAACATTGCAGGAAATGTCAGCTTATCAACGTGAGTCGCGTTTATGATGTGGGATTCCAGATTGTCTGATTGAGCACTTGGAGGTGTAGAGACCTCATGATGCATGCGATAGGTCACCACCAGGTCCCCTCCCTTCCTCACTTACTTTGTTTTCACTTCAAGGCCTGAAATACAAATAGAAGAACTTTGTTAATGAACGGTAGTGGCACATCAGTGTCAGCACTGATGTTGATGTCTTTAATGGCGATGATAACGTGAGGGCATTTTACTCGGCACCGAAATGCACAGAAAAGCAGCAACGGGCGTGCGCGTGATTAGAATCCACATAGGTGTTCCAGGTCCGTCAGTAATTGATCCGTCTTAGCTATGGTCAGTGGCCATGTGATCTGTCTGCGTTGGAGGCTTGCTTGCTTGTGCGGGACGATTCGTTGCGAAGTAGTTTCGGTTGTTTCGTTTTCGGTCCTGCACACAAACATTCTGTGATTGGCAAACAGCTGCAGTACCAGCTCGCCGTTGTCCGTTCGTCCGGATTCTAGTCCGGGACAGCCACCCATTTAAACCTCAGTAACCTTCATATAGCGGCAACCATCATAGTATATGAGCTGTTAGCCCGTCGTAATAAATCACTGTAGTTGTCATGAAATCATCATCATCATCGACAGCATGACATCAGTGTACATCAGTGTTGTCATGAAAACTGTTCTTGAGAGCATTAGGGCAAGAGCCTGTTGGGGCTAAGCAGACACAATGAACAAGCAACGATTGTCAGTGCATTTATGGGATACTCTCATAGATGTGATGATCCTAACCATACGGAGCTATCAGTTTGCGGAAATTCAAGCACTGGCCTGTCAGGTCGATGGCTTACAATCATACTAACCCCTTGCCGATCCAGCCGCGGTAGTTTGTGGACCGCGAGAGGTGCGCAAACAAGCGGGAAGAAACCGTTGAGTCATCTTCTCAGAGAGGACACAAAACCATAGAAAGACACTCCGGCTCGCAAGCAGGAACAATGTGTTGTGCTGCTTGCAAACGTTTGAAGAACTACTGTAAGGTTCCGTGGTTGTGGTGGCTGAGTTAGGCACAGGTATTAGAGCTAACTTCAATGAGCTGCGAGCTTATCCGTTTGTCCTTAAAAATGGTCACATAAAAATGTCTCTGGCAATGGGATAAAGGAAGTGGTAGATGAGTGGATACATGAAAGAGGAAGAAGGGATACGTCAGCAATAACCCGTTTTAGACTACCTGTCCTGCTGTATACAGCAAGTTGATTGCACCACACGACGGTTCATTTTCTTGAGATCATTTACAAGTGTGTGATTCATGGATAAAAACCTGCCAGTGCACCCACACCTAGAGAGAAGGATAATTAGGGTCCTCAGCATAAACCCTGGTGCACATTGTGGGATTTAGTTGGCGTAAGACCGCCAGATCAATCTGCATTTTCAAGCAGCAGATCGCTGCAGTTCCGATTTCTGACCTGAGGGCTTGCAGACTGTCAGCCAGGCCCTCACAAATTGAATACCCTCGTATGAGAGGTCCTCTGAGTGTCATGTGCAGCCTCCACTATGGTTGTCAAGCCTGTTTTGAGGTCAGGTCTTTTTGTGATGGCTGTGCCTGATCGATTAATAGTCAACCCTTGCACCGTTAGCGAGTTGAATGCATAGTGTATACTAAATGCTCCCACCAGATCCTGGTGATGCTTTGTAGACTCCGGAGGTAAGCAAGGTATACGGGTAACCATATATTGTATGCTCACGATCTGCACACTGGATCCACAACGTAGGATAAATTGCATTGCGGCTGCGTACGTCAGGTGGTCTTGTCGGTGCCTTCGGGTCTAGTTCTGTTGCTAGCTCACCTGTGTTGAACTATTTCGGTAATGTGCCCCTCCTAGATGGGTGGTTAACGTTCTCATGCCTCATTAGGCAAAATATCAGTTAGAATTGTATTAGAATTTAGAAGCTTGCTAGTAAAAGCTCGAAATGAAGCAGTACAAGGGTAAGCTCTAATGCATTGTATTCAAACTTCACTTACTTAAAAGGTGCCATCTCTCTATCGCAGTTCGTACGACTACAGCCTTTTTGGGGACTAGCGGACCGCGTATGATGGTAATGAAGCAATCTGAACGCACAATACACTGCTTTTGCTGTTAACTTGGACAACCTCCGCAAGCGCGTCAACCCCCGCTGGTTTCTCGTCTTTTTGAAGTCAGAAAAACATACTCAACTAGTATGATTTATTTGATGCAGATACCTTGCCATATGTGAATATGAAACTAGAATCAAACTAGCGAGAATTCTAACTTCCGTAAATATACCTAACAGAGTAAATCACTCACCAATGTGCAGCGTGGGCTTCTTAGATTGTTTACTGTGATTGGCTATCTTTCATGCACAGGTACCTGTCCTTGACGAAACTTGATCAATATATACGTACATTTACCTATCTAAATGGTTTATATATTGCGGCGCACACGTCGGGAATGGTCGATTGTGAATGGCAGATTTTTTGTGTTGCGGTTTTTGTGGACAGGGTTTTGCACTGAATTCTCTAACTGACTTCATTGATCACAAGATAAAAGGGTGTTCAAATGGCAGACAGTTTACTTTCTCATTACTGGAATGTTATTATTGTGATTTGCGATACCTTTCACCACTTGAGGTCATCACGCATGTTCAAATGAACCATGGTGTCAAGGTTGTGAAACTCATAAGCTGGCCTTCATTGAATCGGGAAAATGGTGAAACGGGATGTATAACTCCACCATCTTCACAAAATTGTCGGGATGCCAAGCATGATGAAAGAAAAACAGTGTCGTCTATCGTGGATAAAGGTTTGAGCTTCTCCAGCGAACGATTAGGAAACCAGTGCAAATTGATTCACCAGGAGCAAGATGTCGGCGAAGGAGGGAAAGTGAGCACGCCGGTGACTACTCCACGATGTTGGACTTCTGGATGCGGTGTGAAATGTAACGGGCCAGTTACACGAAAAACCTGTTGTTTGATTGATGGTGGACCGCCGTGCACACAATTTGAGGCTTGCCCAATCGTTGAAACTAGTCTTTGTGGCAGTTCACCGGACTCATCAGGCAAACAGAACCAACCTGCTCCATCCGAGCAGTCATGCAATGAGCTTGATGCTCATGAGTCTTCCTTACCGGAGGCTGATAGCAACACATCGAATTGTGGAACACAGGCTGAATCGCGATCAACGTTTAAGTGCCAGTTTTGTACTAGTGAATTCAAGCAGAAGATTCACCTTCAGAAACATATGATGTCTGTGCATTTGGAACAGAAACCATACAAGTGTGACGTCTGTGACTATAAAACTGTCGAAAAGAGCCATCTCAAAATACATCTCCGGAGGCATACTGGAGAGCGTCCTTATGCTTGTTTATTATGCAACTACAGAGCAGCACAACACATAACCCTCAAACAGCATTGCTTGAAGAAGCATAGAAATGCATTTGTCTCTTGCCAGCGATGTAACATGCGTTTTGTGACACTAAACCAACTTAACAAGCATGAAAAATTTTGTTGTACATAATGCTGGATATATCCAACATTTCTATTTGCACAATGTGAGTTGTCTTACATTTCGGTGAAATTTTCTTCATTTATTTTGATCACACAAATAAGAATCATTTGTGGGTATTTTGAATCACAAATGATAGCTTGACTCAAGTTATAACCGAACTAAATTTTACGTTCATGATTCGTCTGTGCGCTAGCTTTAATATCCACGGTAGAGAACACGTTATTTCGAGTCGGCGTAGCTTTTACGCAGGGACGAATTTATTGTTTTAATAGTCCTGGACCACCTGCTGCAAGGACTCTGGATTGCAATTATCCTTGGGTTCGGTATAATTTTTTGTTTCTTTAATCTCCTCTCCCACGTGACTTTTTTATCTTAATGAATGCCTTTCTAGTCGGCCTACCCTCAGGGTCGATGATAGACGACACCGAAATCATGTAGAGAACTGTTAAACTAGGTAATCATATTGTTCAGCATGTTGATTTAAATCACCATGTTTGGCAGATTTATTATCATTTGCTCAGTATGGATGTGCTCATTTACTAACGACCAACAGAACTATGGGGAAAAGGCAGTGGTCAGGGGTTTTTCAAGTGAACACGGCGTAGAGATGCTGCTCCTTCAGTACCGGAGGTTGTTATCTAAGGTGAATGTCCCCCAAATAGTTTGACGAACAGACAAAATCGGCCTTTGAGAATGGGACATAGATCCACTATCCCTAGGTTTAGTTACTTTGAATCATGCTTCATTCCGGAATGTCTAACTTTATAAATTACGCGTTCCATAAGAAAATTTGAAAATTAACCCACCTTCTCAGCGTTGAGCTCTTTTAGTTGAGATTTCAGTTTCTCAATGTGGTTGGTTGCATCATTGAGTTTCTTTTCCGCCCTTTTCGTACCAATGGTGTCATTTCTCTTTGCATCGAGCATTTTCTGCATCGTTGCAAGCTCTTCAGTTTTCCCTTGGATTTGTTCCTGGAGCTGGCGCCTCAGTTTCTCATGCTTTTCAGATAGTTCCCGAATAACCCTATCATTTTTGTCCATGAGTTCACTTTTCTCGTGATCTTTCTTGGAGATTTGATCTTGTAAATTTTTTTCCTTCATTCGTTGTGCCGTTAATTCTTGTCGGGCGTATTCTAACTGCAAGGTTAGGTCACTGATATTTTGACACAGCTGCGATGTTTTCGTTGTCCCACTCTCCATTGCTTTATCCAGTGCGGTGACGCGATTGCTCAGGTGTCTTATTTCCTCGTCCTTGTTCTAGTAAACCAACAAAAGCAAATATCAAAACGGTTCACCACTTGTCTTGCAATCGGTTCTACTTATTTGATTGAATGACATTACTGTGATTTATCTGAACCCTTTCGGTTGATTCATATGAGAATGAAAGTGCTTACTGATGAAGCTCACACTCCGTAAGTCCACACTTATTCTTTGGTGCCTTCTTCTGGTCCTTCATATTACCTTCTACGAAGCCTTAGTAATTCTTTTGTTCTTCCACATGCCAATTCCTTTTCCGGTAACTAACGTAGACATTTGTTTCTGTAGGCTTTTTTTCACACTCCCGTTTTGTTTTAATGCAATGCACGTCATTCATTGAGCTTATTTACTGAGGGAGCAGATGGGAACAATATCGACTGCGTATCCTTCCCGAAAGATGCAGACAGACGACGACGCACCATTGGAACTGTGGAGTGGAAAAAACATCTCGACTCGACCAGTAAGTCGCAGATGAAACTTCTCCGTGTCCTTCATCTGACGTAATATATCACCAAACTTCGGCACCCTACAAGCCTGTTGTCACATGCTGAGTGATAAAAACAGGAAATGCACTTTCCTAAAAAAACAATCCTGAAAGCATTTACCATCAACAATGGTTGGTACACCTGTCGAGATTACTTTATATGTTCGTTATCCTAAATTAGACGGCTTAGTGTGGCATATTGAGTTAATCTTTACCGTAAAAGTGAGATTCAGTTGAGTACTCCATTAAGGTCGATATAATTACCTCTCTCCTATTCCTACAGGCTGTTATCTCGTCCTTATTTTCTCCGAATGGCTCTATTTTGTGTGTGCAGTGTCCAATGTGTTTGAGAAATTTGGGTTACTAAGCTAGCTTAGTCCCCAGGCGCCATATGGAGCGAGCATTCATCACCGGAGTCGATACTAGTACCAAAATGTGAAAGCTATATTTAAGGCTATCCAGTCTTTTATTGCAACATCTCCAACATGATAGCGTTGATGACCACCCTCTTCTAAGCCATTTATTTTTATTCCACATTTCCGTGTGCTTCTGTCAGTACTCTTGCCCGGTCCTGAGATCTGTTTGCGAGCTGCATTGATGACCACCTTGTCATCTACTATACATCAATTGTATAGTTTGTTTTTCTCCATCGCACTGACTTTCAATTCCCGTGCTTTACTCACACATCTGCAGACGCAGGAGAATGCTCGCAATCAAGTATATTAAACCAGTACATACGAAAGTTACCGGTGAAGGTCGGAGTTTAAGACACAGGAAATTTGGACCCAGGAAAAGCACATCTGTGATGTAGTTATGCGCTTAGGCTATTGTATTTGCTCGGGGGAGGAGTGGTAAGAGATTATAACTCGTACAAACCCATAAACAACGCTAAATGTTTACTAGACAGCTCCCCCAGACAGAAACAACGAGAAATCAGGTGCTTGATGATCAAAGGGATAGAGTTGAGAGCAAAGAAGCACATGATTTATCTACTGGACAAATAGCTCGCAGATCTGTTCACAGAATACTAACGATTAGGGGTTTGAATCGAGTGCAAGCATGTACCTCTGTTGGGCTTAGGGGAAACACCGAGCAAACATGCTTTCCAAACTAGATGGGTTCCCTGAATAGTGTGAATATGGTTGTATTTTCCCTGGCAACATCGCGGTTGCCTGGATTTAAGTGGGATGGAAAAAATCTTCGTAAATATTCGTTTGAAGGTCTGAACTGGATGTTAATGGTCGGTAACCATATATTACCTCGAGATTTTCATGAGATGATACTCCTTTCTAGGTCCAACGTCGTCCGGGGACTTGTCATGATAGTTTGTTCTGCAACAACTGATCCATCGCTACGCTTCCTAACAACGCCCTGATGATGTCACCTCGATTGGTAATGAAACGTTGGAAATCATATTACCCAGCTCAGTAAAAAAACCAACAACCATCTATGCTACCTTAACTACTAACCTTTTCCTCTATAGTTTGTTCTACATTCAAACTGCACATCATAACCAATGCTGCAAACTGCGTTAAATGGTGACTTTAACTATCGTCAGCGCAAACGTGCATAAGTATTTGATAATGCAACTCAACGCAGAATAGGGCTGAAGGTTTAGAGTTTCCTGTATATTATGAATAAAACCACAAGCCTACTGAATGTCAATTGTTCAAAAACAGCTGTCCAAAGAATAGTCCATTCAGGTACCATCACTAGGGTAGTCCACAGAAAACAATCCTGTTCAAATTTCTGCTGAATTCCTTATATTTTTTACGGCCAGAAGAATTCTCTCATGACACCACATGACCCCTCAGAGAGCTTACAAACCCCTATCACTAATAGGAAATCACAGCAAGAACATAGCCCAAAAACTTAATGGCATCCTTCAACGACCTAAGTTTGGGATGTAAGCAATAGCGCCGGTGTGTCCTGAACTGTTTAGCACTTGGTTAACTTGGCTGAAGAAAAATGGAGTTAAATTCCGACCTCTATCACTACTTGTGCAGTTTGAGCTTTCCTTTGTGCTGCAAAGGACTAGCCCAGTGTGAGTATCACCTTCACAGTGCTGCCCCTTTGGCTGGTCTATTCGAAGTCCACTGATCATAATATAGCTGTTTGATTCTAAAATACAACTGCGTGAACCACCACTTTTGGGGAAAATATCTTATGTGCCGTCCAGACCAAATCACCATCACCACCAGCAGTTGACACACCAGTAGAACGTGCCGGTATTGTTGCTCGAAGTAGATTGTGACCCTAACTTCCGTGTAATCATTGGAAGATGATGCCTCTGTAAAGAATGAAAAGTAAGAGCAAGAGTTGGCTCAAGAATATTTATGTCCTGGAAATAATACCAAGAGCAATGCACACACATCTACCAACGTCCCACAGTGTGATAAACTCGTTTGGCTGAGCCTTTTTTGCCAACTGTTCAACAGAACGGCAAATAAGCATTAGCTTGAAAGTTAGGTGGAGAATTAACAGCACTTCGGGCTCCAGGCTTAAGTAAGTATCATGTCTGGCAGAATTTTCAACCCCGTTCAAGCTAAAGCACTTAGGTCCAACTGGGGAATACGTCAGATCCCATAGGACTCCACTTGATTGCAGCCATATCCATTTTACGTTGCTACGTCTCTGTCACCCGCGAAATTTTTGCCAGCACGGATTTCGGAAGAAAAACTCTTTCTTTGGTGAGTGATGGTTAGGCACGTGCCGTACACATTCCAGCTATTTCAGCCTGATGAGCTTTTTTGACCGCTCCGGCGTCGCAAAATTATCAGGTAGCATGGTATTGAGATTACTAGAATCTAGGAGGGAAGCAGGTCGAAACCTTCATAAAGGACATGAAAGGGCCGTTTGTTGAACTTAACAGGGTAAATGCATAGCCACTTCCATTTTGATGGTTCAACGGTTGCCGATTCCACTGTATTAATAAGTATGATTATATCCATAAAAGTACATCTTACTTTGGCAATTTTTTTAGGCCTAAGTCTCTTTGCAAAGCCTAAACTGTCGTGTGATTCGGGCATTGTGAAGGTAGATATGTCCGCTTTTATAACCGTGGAAATAAGGCTAATAAAACAAAAAAAGGACAGCTGTAATAGTTGCTGCCCCTTCTGCAAAGAATATTCTTGACGATAACGAATGAGCTTTCGGAGAACATTAAGTAAAGGCTTTCGTTCGAAAACGGACGCAAAAAAGCAAATAAGTAAACCTTGATATGGACCCCCTCGCCTTGTTTAGTGATGATAGTATTTTGGTCAGCGATGTCACATAACCAATAACAGCAGGAAAACGGCGCATTCAAATGCAGTTCGAAGCAGGCGTTTAGATCCACTAGAGTAAATTTCGTTTTTTCCTTAAGTTTGTTCCTAGCAGCGACATTGTCGGCAATGCCGTGAGTTTCTAAGTGACTTTTTCCTAACCTGGCGTTGCGTAACAGCTATGAATAACTGAAACGTTGTCAAAATGTACTTGTGAACGCGTGGAGTTCTACTCACTTGCGATTGCACATAGCAATAAAAAAGACGGTCGTTTTACATGTACAAGACAGACTGGTGGACGGAAACTATTCTCAAAAAAGTGGGCCTAGTTTTTTTGGATTTGTGTGTGAGGGTGGTGGTTTCCAGAAGATTTGGAACACTCGAAGTTTACTAAATATTAGACACTGTTTAACCTCCCGCTCCTGAGTGGAATAGTATGGGGTAGAACGGTCTTAATTGGTGCAAAAACCTGTCACTCCGTATCTTTGTTTTATCCAATCACACAATGACCCGCAGCCATAGTAATTCAAAAATAAATTTCAGTGGAAAATATTTTTATGCTAATTTTGTGCATCACTCAGCGTGGTACCTCCCAATTTTGCTACTGTCTCCCTAGCAGAGAGAGAAAGACCTTTGCTAAACACTATTTTTATGATGAGGGACCCCCGTGTAAACCTGCTGGCTGCGTGACTTCGAATGAACTTCCAATATTACCATAAGACTCATTTTTAATGGCCTGGAATGCGGTATGTATATGTAGTGGTCTTTATTCCCGGTGTTCATCGTAACACTGTATTTCATACGCTCAAGACTTCACTCGGTTAGCGCTGTATGAACCTACCTTCATAACATTGTGAGTGAAATAGCTGCTTGGTTTACGCCACTTTTTGAGTTTCATCAGCTTTTTTACTTACTATCAGGTAATACGTTTAGAATTGAACAACCTGCCGCTCAGGGATAAGAGACGTTTCACTCATTAACTCGTGCACAATCTGGATGCGCACGTAGGACACTGCTATCCTCATTCCAAAGCGATCTGACAACCCACGTTTTTCTAGAACTGAAAGTCCAAAGGATGAGATCAAGGTTCTAGTGATTCCAGTAAATCAAACTGGTCAAAAAAGAGACTAACAGTGTGAAGCTGGTGCATGACACTGTGAAAAGATTATGTGAATTACAGATTTGACGGACACTGGCAAAACGGTGATTGCGTATTTACACATATGTGGAATGTACACTGTGAATTCAAACGT